AGAAAGAAAGAAAGAAAATAGCTAATCTCTATTCAAATTTGAACAAGTGATCATTATTTTCTCTTCCACCTCAACCTGACATCTGAGATGTCAAAGTTTCAGTTACCCTATTGTATTTTGTTGTCAGATTTGTAAACATGAGTAGGTTTCATAGTCATATTTAAAGAGTCGTTTTCATCATCTGTAAAATGTAAATTGTCCAAAATATGTTGTAAGAATGCTTAAATATATAAACATACATTTAACATACCTAGTAGCTAACAAACACTCAGGAGCATTAGTAAAAATACATTACATACAAATTCACAGGAAGAAGTCATTCATAACAGTAAATGAGTCTGCAGACTACAATTTAATAGAAACTTTAGTAGAAATTTCTGGATTTTGAGATGATTCATTGCTGAGATCTTCAGAAATACTACTAAGAGTCTATTGAGACATCACATTTTGTCACGCATTATGTATTTGTTCCATATATACTGCGTGTGTAGTGACTAACACATCCACCCACAGTATAATACAGAATATTTCCAACCACAGAGTTACTGCTACTTGAAACAGAACTTAATACCTTAAATTAGTGATATGACCATAATATCTGGGAAGGGGGTGGATAGGTGTTAGGCAGAAGGAATGGCATTTCTGATAAAGAAGAGCAAGATGCTTCTGCCAAAGATACTGGGAGTTGAAGCAGTATACTTGACCAAGGAGCAGAAACTGTCGTTTGGGGAGAAGAGACCAAAAGTCAGGTTTGCAGCCTTGATGTGGGTGCCATTAACACTTTAACTGTCAGTATATGCGTCATTATCATCCGGACAAGTCTGGCCAAAGGAAACAGCACTAACTTTAGAATCATAACAGTATTTAGCCACTCAAAGAAAAAGACGGTGGGAAAAAGAGACCTAACACAAAGAAAAATAAACATGAGAGGCATAAATCATTGATTAATCTGAAAACACAACAGCGACATCAGAGATGAAATACTTGTTGTCTAGAAGATTCTTCTAATAGGGTATATGTTGCAGTTGTTGTGGGTGGACCAGTCAATTTTGACTTAAAAGGATCCTATTTATTGCTGTTGTTAAGTGCCATTGGTCAGTTCCGATCCATAGCAGCCCTGTATAGGGTTTCCAAGGAGCAGCTGGTGAGCTAGAATCACTACCCTTACGATTCAAACCGACTTTGCAGTCCAACGTATTAACCCATAGCAGCACACAAGGACTCTTAGAGGACACAATAGAACCCTATAGGACATGATAAAACTACTCCAAAGGGTTGGCAGAGCTGTAAACAACAGCCTATTTTTACAAAATATATTTTAGGAAAGAGTTGAGAATATTTTAACCATATACTGACATGAGAAATAAAAATTCCTAACACTTTATTTGAAATCCTGAAATCTAAATATCTATAAAACAAAATGATTTTATTAATTTGGGACTGAAGTAAAATGAATATAGTTTCTAAGTTTTGCATTTTGCTGTGGAAATATTAATGTGCTGGACTGTGTATTGAATCACTTATTCCACAGGACGTGTTCATTCTTACAGGTATAAGTACAGACATTGTTGTTGTACTAATGTGCTGTCAAGTCAGTTCCTACCCATAACAACCCTGTATAGCGTTTCTGAGGAGTGGCTGGTGGCCTTGAACCTTCGACCTTATGGTTCAAACTGACTTTAAAGTCTAGTGCATTAACCAAGAGCATCAAAACAAGACTCTATGTACATATTACAGTTCTAAAATTAAAATAAATCTGAATTTAAAATGCTTTTCTCCTCAAGGATTTTAGAAAAGAAATTTTGAAACTTCTATTAATACCTTTTTCATGGATGTTACAAATGATTAATGACTGCCTCTAACTTAAAGTCTGTTTATTTGAGTTTACCCAGAGACATCTTGGGAGGAAAACTTGGTGATCTACTTCCCCAAAATTAGCCATTATACAAGCTCTGGAACGCAGTTCTACTATGCAGTGTAGTGATTATTTAATGTCTCCTTTAACTATATTCTGTAAGCACCCACCAAATTATTTTACTTAATTGGTAAGAGAAGGTGGGAGAAGATGCTGATGGATTATATGATTCAGTTGTAAGTGGTTGTTAAAAGGGGCTAAGTGGGATTGGATATACCTATCAGGCTGGGTATTACATTAGCCATCTAAGAAATAGGAATAGGGGATGAGGGTGGGGCATTCACTGCCATCAAAGAAAAAAGCCAGGAGTGGAGCTTGTCCTTTGCACAGACAGATTCCTGCACATTGAATTTCCTCTACCCAGGTACCGAAAGCTATGACATACAAACAAAGGCAGAGGAGCAACAGCAGCAGAACCATGACACATCACATGGATAGAGGGGGTTTTCCAGCCCACAGAGAAACTAAAGCTGAGTGGTTTTTAGCAAGAGATTTCCTTGCAGAGCAGGTTGCATCCAGACACTAAATTGTGGGTGCTAGGTTTTCTACTATATTCGTGTATCAATTTGTCACATTGTGATGGCTTTTGTGTTGCTGTGATACAGGAAGTTATGCCACTAGGTATTTTAAATACAGCAGAATTATCCATGATGAAAAGGTTTTAGTGCAGCTTCCAGGCTAGAAGATGAAGAAGCAGACCACCTCTGAAGGGATAGTCACTGAAAATGTTCTGAGTAGCAGTGGAACATTGTCTGAAATAATGCCCAAATATGAGTCTCTCAGGAACTGCCTCTCTAAAGTAGAGTTAATCTTAATGATGTGAATGGATAAAAGCTTTCAGGATCTTCATTTGCCAACAGAGTATAACACAAAATGGAAGGAAACAGTTGCAAACATCCATTAATAATCAGAACTTGTAATTTATAAAGAATGAATTGAGGAAAATTAGAAGTTGTCAAAAATGAAATGGAACAGTTAAAGATTTGTATCTGGGAATTAGTGAGCTGAAATGGACTGGCATTAGCCATTTTGAATCAGATAAACATGGTTTACTATACATTTCATTCATCAAAAAGAGATTTTCAAGATCCATCTTGAAGCACAATGCTGTGTCTATGTTAGAATAATATCCATATACTTATAAGGAAGACTAGTTAATATCTCTATTATTCAAATTTACATACCAACCACTAAAGCTAATCGTGATGAAACTGAAGAATTCTACCAACTTTAACATGGGCTTCTGGTGTGGTACTGTAGGATAAATCGGGACTATTAAACAGAAGGTGGGCAGTTCAAACTCACCAGATGCTCCTTAGAAATCCTATACAGAGTCCCTATGAGCTTGAAATAACTCAGTGGAATATAACTACAAGAACAACAAAGTTTGAATATCATTATTCAGGGATATTATTGCTGATGTCAGATGGATCTTGGTTAAAAGCAGAGAATGTCAGAAAGAAGTTTATTTGTTCTTTATTGATTATGCAAAGGCATTGACTATATGAATAATAACAAACGATGCAAAACATTGTGAAGAATGGGTATTCCAGAACACTTCATTGTTCTTGAGGAACCTGTACATAGACCAAGAGGCAATCATTTAAACAGAACAAAACAATACTAGAAGGTATTAAATCAGGAAAGGTGTGCAGCAGGGTTAGATCCTTTCACCATACTTACTCAACCTGTATTTGAGTAAACAATTCATGAAGCTGATTATATGAATAAGACTGTGGCATCAGGATTGGAAGAAGCCTCACTGTTACTGTAAAGTGTTGTTAATAACAATATTGAACTGATTTCAATCCACAGTGAGCCTGAATAGGAGTTTAAAGGAATGACTGGTGGGTTTCAGCTGCAGATCCTGTGGTTAGTAGTCCAGTGACTCTCCTTCCGTGATACACCAGAACTGTGGCATGGTAGGATAGTCACTGCAATCTGCCAATGATAGAACATTACTTACGGAAAATAAAGAGGGCTTGAAATACTTACTGATAAAAATCAAAGACGAAAGTCTTCAATATGAATTGCACCTCAATGTAAAGAAAATGTATATCCTCAAAAGCTGGACCAATAATGAACATAATGATCAATAGAGAAAAGATTGTGGCTGTCAAAGACTTCATTTTGCTTGTATCCACAATCAACAATTATAGAAGCATCACTCAAGAAATCAAACAAGGAAGGCTACAAGATGGACTATGCAGTAAGCCTATACAGATCCTCCACAACAAAGATATGAAAGTCACAATGAAACAAATGCAGATGATAATCCTGGAACCCTGAGCTTCAGATGGAGGGCTAGAGAACTGGATTGAATGCTTCCTATGAGAGAAAGGTGAACAGATGTGGCAAAAAAAAAAGGAGACAGACTAGTGACCAGTGCTGGTTGACCAGTTGCAGGGTGGCCATCTTGAGTTTCTGTGAGTGGCTTCAGAGATAAGACAGCAATATGACATTATGCAGAAATAAATCAGTGCAGTGTGGAGATAAGATGTGGTTCTTTTCCTATTCCCCACACTCCTATGGTGGCCAGAGGTGTGGATGACTCCAATCCATATACACCCCCATTGAAGCTCCCACTCCTCCAGCAGTCTGAGCTACACAGAAGTGAGTACTACAGAGGTGAAACTATTCATGTTAACCCTGGCAACTGGATTCAGGTTGTTGGCAGAGATGGCCTTGGCCAGCCCTGGACTAGCCCAACTAGGGGAAGCAGTTGAACAGACATATGGAGGATATATATATATATATATATATTTGTTGTTGTTGTTGTTAAGTGCCATCGAGTCGGGTCCGACCCATAGCGACCCTGTACAGGGTTTCCGAGGGTGTAAATCTTT